AATTTCTTGTTGCTGTCAAAATAAATAAACACACAGAATAACATAAAAACACCAAGTCCATCACCATAAAAACCACAATAGTAACATATTAACAATCACCAAAAGTAAAAACACATGACCAATAATATAAATATTTTTCAGTGCCACAAAAAAAAACAAAGTCCTTTTTCCTTCACAACATTATCAAATTAAACCATCAAAAATCAACTTTCTTCTAACTCCCATCAAAAGCACATCTCAAAACATTAGTCCAACTTTTCTTGTGTGTAATATAGTCACCTGACAAATGAAAAAATCAAATTGAATGAGCATATGTCCATTGCTGACCCCTATATATTAATCAATTATTAAAATTAATTTAAATTAGTATACCTTCAAGAAAATGTATGAGTGTTTCGTGTTGACGTAGGTACCTTAAAACGACTTTCATTAGCTTTTTGTGTTGAAGTAACCCTCACCTAAGAAAAATAAGAAAAATTCTATTTTATTAAGAAATTTTTTCTTTTCACAATATTCATAGGTAAAGTTTTGAGGATTCTAAGACCGATCACTTTATTATAACTCTAAGCAACTAATCAGTATTAGGTCCTTAAAAGAATCCAATTCAAATAATGTTTTACTGTGTATTTGGGAAAGATCTTTTATACTGTGTATAGAAAGATGAAACAAATCAGACACTCAACATAACTTAGTAAAAGAAAAAAAATAAAAATAAAAAAATAAAATTAGTACACAAAAGTTAAAACCCATTATCAGGAAGACCAATTGGTGGTGTTTGAAGCAATTGAATAGAATAAAACTACAGTTCCAATACAATGCATATACAATGCATTTAACAAGCTTATATAGATATTGAATACAAAATTAAAAAATAATTATATGGGTGTGATTTGCTTACATTGGTTTGATTTTCTATGAAATTGAATGAGGCCGGAGAAAAAGGAGTAACAATAAAAAATAAAAATAAATAAATAAATAAAAGTAAAAATTGGAAACAAAATCAGTAAAATCAGTAATCCCTATTTTGTTTCCATCAACTAAATGAAGACATACAAGAAATAAAAAATTGAATTTGTGAGTATCCTATATATAGTATTAATGTACATATGTAAGTACTATGGAGGAATGGAAAAATGAAAACAATCAGACTTTTTCTCCTTTTGAAAACTGATACTTCTATCAAGATTGATACCAAACAGATCACCCCCAAACCAAAGGAAAAAAAAAAAAAAAAAAGTCTAGATCAATCACACAGAAAAAAAACCCTAGAAAAATATTGATCAAGAGAGAATAAAACACACCGAGAATAAAGTCCAGAAATAATTTACTTGGAAGTTACGAACATAAATCAGTCAACAATTTCTCTAGTTATATGAACTTTAGCCCAATTAGAGAGATGAATGATAAAAGAAAGCAAACTCAAAATTTTGCCTAATGGATACTTTAGTCATTCTGCATCCTTAGTTAACGTCCCGTTGAATCTGTTAGCCCCTCTGATAGTTGAGGAAGTATTTTGGAATAAAAATAGTCAAAGGAGAATTTAATGGAAAAGGTTGAAAGTCGGGTTTTTTCGGACTTTGCCCTTTTATTTTTTATTTTTTATAATTCATAGGAACTATCAGCCAAAAACATTCAGACTTCACAGGTTATAAATCTCAAGAGAGTTTGAGAGCAACATATATGCATACATTCTAAATTGGCTGTAATAATATATTCTCATACTTTATATGTGCATATATTAAATATCTTAATATTTATTATTATTATTATTATTATTATTTTAATGTTTTTACTCCCATCTAAAAAGAAATAATATTTTTTATCCTACTTTTACAAGTGAATAATTTTTTTTTTTTAATTATACAACTACTCTTTCGGAGGCGATATTTTATAAATATGTATATGCTATTTAAAAAATATATATGAGAGTATTAATCAACAAGACCTGTTTATATTGAGAGGAAGAATTTGGACACTGGAATAGAAATGTCATAATCTGGGAATGAAATACCTACACGTCATCACCTTGGATTTTAATTTTATGACATAATTAGGATAAAATATTAATTTATGGCAACAAATTAAATTTCACCCAATTAAAACTTTGAGATCGATTATGATTTCAAATTGAATCAAGTTAGAAATTAGGTCGTTGATAAGTGGATCTTTTTATGTGATGCAGTATATCCCATTATGATTTCAATTTTGTAGATACTTGTCATTTTCATTTAAGTAGTTAGAGCGGGGGCACAATCAGAAATACTAGGTTGGGGATCAAAGAAGCATTGTATAATTAAAATTATAAAGAAAATAATAATAACTCGTCTTATTGTCCGCTTCACATACTATTTACTTACGATTTTAAAAATGCGTCTACATATTTAGAAAGCATTTACACATATAAGTACAAGTAATTTCTTTTCTAACTGAAGCGGGACGTTATAATCACTCCCTCTTAGGATCTAACATTTTCGGTTCCTCGCTAAACGTATTTTTTTTTTGTAAGTGCGTGCAACTTTTCTCTCAAGCGAAGCGGGACGTTGTAATCACACTCTCTTGGTACCCAACGTCCTCACTCCTTTATTTTTGGCCTTGACGTCCTCGCTAACTTGACCCTGTTAGACTTCTGCACGCTCTACCCATTTTTGATCATTTGGAGGTTTGCCTTGGTACCTTCTGTTATGGTCTACTCCGCTATATAAATATTGTTTGCTTCGCACATTTTATTTGTTAACGATTTTTCAAACGTGTCTACACAATTGAGACACATCCAAACAAATTATTAAGAGACATCCACATAAATTACTGAAAGCAAATTTTTCTGGCCGGATGCCACAATTATTATAAGGGTTAATTTCACTGACACTTCTTCATGTTTGGCCAAATATCACCCTCAAATATTTTTCGAAAATAACTATCACTCACATTACAAACTTTTGTTCCGTTTTTCACTCATACCTCAACAATTCTAACACGATATAAAATGACATAAATACCCATTGACTTTGTCAAAACAACTCTTTTGCCTAAACAATTGAATTAAAAGACTAAAATATCATTTAAATTTTGCAAATTTACAAATTATATAAATATACCAAACACACACATATATATACACAGACATATATATATACACGTATATATTATAAATAAATAAATATATATATATATATATTACACAAGACATACATACTCCTCTTTCTCTCCACCATTGTACCTTTCTCTCTCCACCACCACCACCATTCATCTCTCTCCACCGTCACAACCACCACCACCGTCACCGTTCTTCTCTCTCCCTACCGCCACCACCACCACCACCGATTCTATAACCCAACCACCAAAATTAAAACAGGAAGATGCCATCACTCCTGCCGGAGATGCCAATTTTGTTTTGTGAAATTAGGTTAATCAGTGAAAAAAAAATTAGGTTCAATCAAACACAGATGTGTATGAATGTGTTTTTGATTTGATACGAGAATGTGAATCTGGTTAGGTTAGTTCCGAAATTGAGAGAAGTAAGTGTTCCTGTGTTTTACAATTGGCATCAATTGATGACAAATAATTGTTGTGGATAGATGATTATGGTAGTGGTGAACGATGATGACGCTGACAAAGAGAAGAACTTAGTTCAAATTTGTCTTTTTCTGAGGGTCACGAACATGGATGGTGATGACCGTTGTTGGAGAAAAATATCACGTAGCACAATTGTCGGTGTCATCATCGTCCACCATCGTCGATGCCCCATAGGGTAACGATAACAGTTTATTAACCACAATTAGGAAGCGGAACCGTGGTTAAAATGGACCACGACAAATTACGTTGATTAGGAGAGAGGAAGTCTAATTTTCTTTATTTTTAATTATTTTTCTAGAGGTGCTTGTTTTTAAAGCTAACAGACATGCTCTGCGACCGCTATGTTATTGCCTGTAGAGAAAGTCAGAGATATAGAGTGAGAGAGAGAGAAGTAGAGGATTGGCGAAGAGTTTGTATGGGTTTTAGAGGGAGAGAGATAGGGGGTAATGATTGCTTTTGCTGGGGTATTGTAGTCTTTTTATTTATTTATTTTTAAGATTGAAAGCACCTTTGACCAAGTCAAAGTGTATGTAGGGGCAAAATTGTCTTTTACATATTTTTAACGGAAATTATGACGGAAAAGTAAAAATGGACCTAAATGATAATTATTTTCGAAAGATATTTGAGGGTGATATTTAGCCAAATCTTAAGGAGTGTTATTGAAATTAACTCTTATTATAAAAGATCTGTAAACAAAAATCTCAAAAAATAAAAAATAAAATAAAATAAATTAGGGAGGCTCTTCAGTCTTCCCTAGTCAAGCTTAAGCTTGATGAACTCAACACTTGTATTTATCAATTTATGCCACAATTGAACTAAGAAAAAGTTTGATGGATCAATTATGAGCTCAAACATGTGCTTGACATTATATGGAGAGAGGCTATTATCGTGGGACCCACATCAGGACGTTCCTCCTACCTTAATATGGAGATGCACAACACAACCAGCATCATTTAATGGCATACCTCTTATATTTATATATAATCAAGAGATTCACATGATCATACTAAACACCCCTTTTGTCATTTTGGGTTGCTGTAAATGACAATATATTCTTAGAAATGCCACGTGTTTCTAGTAGAGTACAAGAGTTTCAAATACGACTGAGTAAACTTTTAGGCGCCAACTAACGGTCATCCCATCCACTTATGACCCATGCAATCCACACAATCTCTAATCCTGTAATCCCTAGTTCTCCTAAAACAGGCCAACTCTCACCAATCAAAACCCCCCACAACATTCTATTTTGAAGAATAGTCATGTCATTTTAGAAATATGTGGGTATTCTGGTAATTTTAACTTATGAGATTATATTCTTCACGCAACATCTGTCAGACTGCAACAATCACAAAAAACTCCCACCGCAGAGAATAAAAAACAGCTCATCTACCATTCTTCACACACCCCTGGAGTAGAAGAGAACCACATGACAACCAATACGTAGAACTCGGAGATCTATCACAATAGTTCTATTTTCTAATTAAATCTCTTCATTACCAAATTTATTTGTACCCATTTCTTCAAAGTTTAAAACCCCAATTGTGAATGCCAAATTTAGCAAGAGAACTTCAAAAATGGCGATTTCTGAGACAATTCAGAGACTTTCTTCGCTACCTATTTCGTCATCGTTTTTCAATAGCAGCACCATAATAGCCATTACTGTTTTCATAGCTCTTCTCTGCACTTGCATCGTCATTGGACATCTTTTGGAGGAGAATCGGTGGGCTAATGAATCCATCACTGCTCTTCTTCTGGTTTGTAGAATTGTGCTTGTTTTTAAGTCAGTGAAGTGGGTTTCGATTAGTTTGGTTTATTTGCGTTAATTGTTCCATTTTGATGGTGTATTGTTTGGATTAGGGTTTGGCTTCTGGGTTCGTGGTACTGTTGGTGACTAAAGGGAAAAGCTCGCCCATACTTGTGTTCAGTGAAGAGCTTTTCTTCATTTATTTGCTGCCCCCAATTATTTTCAATGCTGGGTATGATCATTTTCCTTATATATATATATATATTTCTATATTATGTATATTTGAGTATGAACATTGGCGCAATAGTAAGGTTGCTATATTATGTGTTCACGAGTTCGGAAATGGGAAATAACCTCTTTGTATGCGGAGGTAAGTCTATGTATATTTGACTCTCTTCGGACTCTGCAATGCCAGAGACGGTGCGCTGAACTGCTTTTTACTTTTTAAATTTTAATTTTTTACATTATGTATATTTGTTTATTTATTAATATTTACTACAAAGAAATTGTATGGTGAGGTGATGAGCCAGTTTGGTTCTTATTTAAATCTATATAAATTCTAGTTCGTTCTGGGGAAGAATTTTTCTCAGATTTATGGGTTTTAATGACTGTGCTTTTTGGCTTGAATTTAGTCTACCCTTTTTTGAAGTTGGTGAAACAGGATTTTGTTTGGTAGGTTTGAGATTTTAATTTACCATATGAATGATTTTCTTAAACTGTGTTTGTACTTGTTTATCAGTCATTTTGACTTTTGAATTTTGTTCCAGTTTTCAGGTCAAGAAAAAGCAATTCTTTAAGAACTTCTCAATAATATTTTCATTCGGAGTATTTGGTACGATTATATCATTTTGTCTCATATCAGTAGGTGAGTTTTGCAATCTCTCATGTTTTTTCACTATTGATTCTTCATCCAGATTTCAACTAGATTCAGTCTCCCAACAATTATGTTTCTTCCATTTCTAAATTACAAAAACCCTAAAATTCATCTTTTCCTTTTCCCTAATGTATGTATTAATAGTCAAGTTAGATGCATTATGATCCATCACTTGATTCTAAACAATTTTGGTGCCTTCTTTCAATGGCTTTAAGCCATTTAATTTATTTTATTGACCTGCTATTCTGATACAATACATCAGCTTGTTAGCTTTCATGAAGTTAATACTATTTATTTATATTTTTTTTGGGGGAAATAGAGTGGAGGAGAGAAGAGAAGGCTTGGATATTTTTATCAGTTTGGTTTTAAGCAAAAAAAAACACAGAGAACAAAATGAAAAGGAGAGTATGAGGCTCACTCAAAGTGTTCTTGTATGCTTATACCCAATTGTTAAATATAAAATTTTCAAGTTCTCCAAAATGAAAGTAATTGACAAGTTGTTAACATTTTTGCTAGCATTTTAGAAGCCGTTCACCTGAAAAATCGGATAAGCTATTTTCTCTGCTTATAGCTCTTACCCTGCATTTTAATAATACTAATCCTCTAGTGACTCAGTAGCATCATAGTACTTCTTCCTCATTTTTTATCTCATCAAAATAACAATCTCACTTTTTCTGTTTTTTGTTTGAAACTTTTGTAGGTGCTTATTTTCTATTTAAGAAGATTGGTTTGAAAACCCTGGATATTCAAGATTACCTAGGTAACGAATGATCAATTTTTATTTTTTTATATCGATTAACTTTCATTCTTATAGATTGATTATTTGAAATTAATATACCTGCAGCCATTGGTGCCATATTGTCAGCTACGGATTCAGTGTGTACATTGCAGGTAAATGCAAAAATCTTATTCGGGACTATGGTGAATGGTGTGTTCACGATATTTGACATGTGCCATTAATTTATGATCTTTTCCTCATGTTTAAGGTCCTCAGTCAAGAAGATACACCCTTCCTATACAGTGCTGTATTCGGAGAGGGAGTTGTAAATGATGCTACCTCTATTGTGCTTTTCAATGCGGTCCAGTCAACTGATTTCAGCAACCTTGAACCCTTGATTGCCTTAAAGTTGTTGGGAACTTTCCTATACCTCTTCTTTACCAGTACTCTTCTTGGTGTTGCAGTAAGTTGTAGTATCTTAACTTACAATTAGCTTTATAATTTATTTTCCAGCATTGACAAAATCAATTCACTCAAATGATAAACCCTAGTCCATATATTAAGACTATCTTCTTTCATTCATTGGGATATATATATATATAGATATATATATATTCTCCCAATTGGATTGATCATGCATCTTTCCGAATACAAGGAAATGTTTATGTATTGTGCTTTCTGTTTCCACTCTTGGGTTAAGTTTAGTGAAGTAATGACCACATCATTTGCATTATAGTCACAGAAGAGAATTCAATCCAGTATAAAATTTGTCTAGGACATGGCATATTGTTCAAGTTATTTTCTTAAATTTTTTATTTTATATTCTTCAGTCTCCTCTTGAATCTAATTTAAATTTATATTTATGTTTCCAGTATAGTCTTTAATTTACACATATATATTATTTAAAACTCCATTTTATTTTGGTGGTGCTCAAAATCCATATGCTCCTTCTCATCCCTTCGATTCTTCTAACTCAGCAATTGCCTGTGACGTTAGCCTCAAGTTTGACACATTTTTTACACCTTGCAGAATTTGAATTTTCTAGTTGCGGGAATGCATTGTTGTCTAACTTGATCTCTTTGGCAACATCTCAGGTGGGACTTTTAAGTGCTTATGGCATAAAGACGCTTTACTTTGGAAGGTACACTAGTGAATCGGGTTTTTGTTCACATTTGTTGTTGCATCGGCTGTGCGCTTTATTCATTCATATTTCTGCATTCTTAACTGGGGACCCGATCCTTCTCTGGATAGTTTCAACATGTTTAAACAGATATCTCTTATGGAGGTGTTGAAACCATAGCTCATTAACTGAACCTGATCCAATCACAAATTTCTGTGCTGAGTGTAGCTTTCATAATTGCTCAAACTTAGTACTGATATGAAGTTTAAGGAAAATTTACACCTTTAAAAGAACCATTCAATAAAATGTAATAATTATTCTTACGAAATAAAATCAAAATGAAGTCGAAGAATGAAATTCTACATGTGTCTTAGTAGGTCGGAGATGTATCGAGTTATATGGATATTATCTTTTTGGTAATGTTATACCTCAACCTTCTTTTCAGAATTTTGTGCCCACTCTTATATGGCAGGATGCGGTTCTAAAGTATTTCTTAATAATCTCTTGGAAAAAAAGAATAATAAGCATATCAATATGACATAATGTTGGAGAGAAACTAGTGATGTAACATTTCTGTAACATTATTTCCTTTTTATTTTCTTAAATATTAGGACTGGCCAAAAGTAATTGTAGCTAAAAAGAAAAAAAAAAAATGCATGAACAGTCGTGTTAAAGAAATTAAGAGGAAGATATACATTGGTAATTTGGTACTTAAGAGTGAAACTTAAAAGGTGTAATAGTGGCAACAAACTCGACTTGTTGCAATAGTGGAAGCTTCTATTACTTACTTTTAGTCATCAGATCTTATATTTGGGGCAATTTTTGACATCTATTCCATATATTTGTGGCTTTAATTAATCTTGACACCATTGTTCTTTTGTTAACAGACATTCCACGGACCGTGAAGTTGCAATCATGATGCTCATGGCTTATTTTTCCTACATGATTGCTGAGGTACCAAAACAAAACATTCCAAAATTTCTTTTAAAAGCCATATCTCTTTTGAAATTTTATTTGCTCTTTACCCTCCAAAACATTTTTTTATGTCGTTTTTTTCTTGAATACAATAAGTATGAGCAGACACACAACTTATTCCCGCTGAAATTAAGTTCTATAGAAATTGAGTTTTTGATATTGAGAGAAAACAGAGAGATGTTATGGAATTTAAAATGTTTACTTTTTCATGCATTGTTATTCAATAACTTTGTTATTCCCTTAGTGCACAATCGTCAATTGGTTTATACTTTTTAATGGCATAGTTCTCAACTCTGTTTCATTTGTCAGTGTCAGTTTTGTGTGCCCTTCGATTATTTAGAAAATTTACCAGGCAAAGAGAGTAATTTTATCTGGTATGACAGAAATGAAATAAACTTTAATTCAAAAAGAAGTTAGTTTAACTTGGTGACTGTGTAATTAATATAAACCTAGACACAGTAAATTTTGGTGGGAGTTGTTCGGATGATTATGAGTACATTTCTTGGTTACAGATATCTTGAAAACTGATAAATTAGTTTTTTTGTTTTGTGTTGCAGCTGTTGTCTCTTAGTGGGATTTTGACAGTTTTCTTCTGTGGGATTGTCATGTCGCATTACACATGGCACAACGTTACTGAAAGCTCTCGGATAACGACCAAGTGAGATATATCCTCTTGAATTTTTATATATTACTTTCGAGGAGACATATTATAATTTACACATGTTTCATTTAAATGGTTATTAATTTTCAAAAATGGTAATCAAAATTATTGCTAAAATTACTAGTTGAGTTGAAGGTTCTATCAGTGTAAGCAAGAATGAGTATGAGAATAACTCGCCAGAACTGAATCTAGATAAATCACTCACACTAAATTTATTCACTCCTTTTCTATATATTCATTGGTGTAACATCAAGTCGATTTGGGGACTTAATGGTTAGAAGCTGTGTAAGTACTGGAAGTCTTAAATCAACCCGTGTTGGCAGACACATATAATGTGAATGAGCAAAAATAAATAATATTGCTCATCCAACATTTAAAACCAAACTTTACATGCAGAAGTTCTGGTGTGCATGAAAAATGTTTCGATTCATAAAATACAACTGAATATTATCAAACTACTAGATAAGGTCATAAGGCCTACAAAATCAAGTAAAAATAGTTAGAATAGAAAGAAGAACATAAAAAATCAATGATTAAATTTGAAAGAAGGACATAAAATATCATGCATAGAAACAGTAGAGTGTATATCACTTGAAAATCTCAAAATTCAGATGGACAACTAACTAATTGTTGTTTTTCCCTTATTATTAGTATTATTATTATTTTGGTTCTTAATTATGGTCCAATTTATTTCATTTTTCAGCCCTGTTTCCTATTCCTTATGTGTGTTGTTTTATCAGACTCTTACGCAACACATTTTACAATTTTGACCTCGTACTCGCAGATATAAGAGATCTTATATCTTTATTTACAAGAAAAAGCCATAACAATAACAAAAATTTATTAGTCAGGCATAATAAGCATGAATTTCTCAAATTGGATTCGTATCGTATTTTCAGGCACTCCTTTGCAACAATTTCATTCATTGCGGAAACTTTTATATTCCTATATGTGGGCATGGATGCATTAGACATTGACAAATGGAGAGCAAGCAAAGCAAGGTAATTTCAGTACCATGTCATTTTAAAATATAAAGCTAGAAGTTGTTTGCCAATTAGTTAATCCTTGATAGATTGACATGAAAATACGGGATTAGTTCAACCAAATACAAATTGTTAAATAACTTCCAGATTGTTATGATGATGGTGAATGTAGATATCTTGGTTCGTCGGCTTGCCCCACCTCATGAAGGGAGAGGTGCCAAATCAAAGTTGGATATTAGGAAGCCTTAAACCCCTTCTAATGACCTTGAGCAGTATGATTTGGATTTTTCTAGCAAAAATGAAATAGTCCTACCATATACTGGCCTTTAGATTGACATCACACGACACTTTCTTATTCTCTTTCTTAAGGTTTGATGAATACATAAAATTAACTTTTCTCATTCTCTTCCATTCAGTGCAGGAACTTCGATTGCTGTCAGCTCAACTTTGTTCGCATTGGTGTTGGTCGGAAGGGCAGCGTTCGTGTACCCTCTTGCAAATTTTTGTAATTGCATTAAACGAAGAGACAGTGACAAAATTGAGTTTCGGCAACAGGTGAATACTTGTGGTCATTTTCAGCACATCACTGTCTTTTCATTCCAATTTTTTTTACTTTTCCAACTCTTTGAAGTACCAGTTCATCATATGGTGGGCAGGTCTAATGAGAGGTGCAGTTACAATTGCTTTGTCTTACAACCAGGTAAATAACATATATTCGAACTCGTAGCTTAAGTGTCCAGACATTCGACTCTTTTTGCCCGAATATTGAATTGGCAATCTATTTGTTACAGTTTTCAGCAACTGAGGAGACAGTAACACAAGAGGGTTCACTGATGATCACCAGTATCATTCTCGTCGTTCTCTTCAGCACAGTGGTAGGTTTATTGGTACTTTTCTAGTTTTAACAGATATATTCAGTTAGGCTAAAACATCCCTTTATTTTACAATACTACTTTTTTCAATACTAGAAGCCAATTTGATATGACAGAAATGGACTAAATCCAATTTGTTTTAAAGAAGAATCGATTATTGAACAATTTTTCTTGAGGTTGTCAAACATTACGTGCCTTTTAGGAAAATGAAACGAGCTGTAATAGATCTCTATTTTAATTGATATAAAATGAGCTAAAATTACTGAAAATATATATAAATAAATAAAATGTATACACTTTTATATTAGTATAGATAAGTGGCTAGAATACGACACACCCTCAACACAAGGCCAGTGAGAGAAAGGGAGAAAAGTCGAATTCTATGTTTTTCATTTCGACTGGACTGAGTGTTCATTTGGTGAAGTAATCAGCAGCATTTTTTTTCAAGTTGTGGTTTCATCTTTCGGTATAAACAGGATACACATTCATTTAATCTTCTATAAATTGAATTTTTACGCATGCTTGAATGTTGATATGCAGTTTTTTTTTTCAACAGGTGTTTGGTTCAATAACAAAGCCTCTGATTGAAACAGTGCTGTTACGACACGCGAAACCATTAGTTTCTGACGCCACTGATTTTGCAAGCCTAGAAGACTTGAGACTACCCTTCTTTGAAGGTGAAGAGCCAAATACTAGCGGTGACAATCAACCAGGCCTCAAGAGAAGTAGCTTAAGGTTGCTGATGACACACACAACTTCCACAGTTCACTACTTTTGGAGGAAATTCGATGATAGATTTATGAGGCCGGTTTTTGGTGGACGGGGATTCGTTCCATTTGTTCCTGGTTCACCAACTGGTGCAGCAGATGAGATTCCCTGAATCCAGAGTTCAACCATTTGTTTTTATCCCTTTTTTTTTAGCTAAAAGAAAGCAAGAAATGTTGCCGTGTAAAGTAAAGGCCATTAGATCATTTGAACACTCTAAATATGTTTTTTGTAGATTATGCTGGAATAAATGTTCATGTTATCAATTTCCGGGGAAAAAAAATGTTCATGTTATCATTTTCCGGGAAAAAATAGTTTGTTCATGTTATCAATTAATAGTGCAAATTAATCGAAATTTCTTTTGTTGTGCGATTTATATGAATGTGTATTGTGTGTGTGTGTTTATTTGGAAGCTCAGTTGGAAGACTATAAAACTGTGTGAAACATTTTGATTCAGTGAAAGGGATGAATTTTCAATATTAATGTGTGTTTTTTTTTTTTTTTTGGTTAAAGGGTTTTGCAATATTAATGTTCTTCAAGAAGTTTAGACAGAATGGTAAAATTTGTTTAATTTTTAATGAGTGAGAATCAAGACAAGATCAGGTATTTACCAATAATCACATGATATGTTATAGAATGGTTAAAAAAATCAAAAAAATAATTTGTTTAAGATGGTCAAGAACCAACATGCAGGTAGTAATTTTTAATGAGTGATAATCAAGACAAGATCAGGTATTTACCAATAATCACATGTTATGTTATAGAATGGTAAAAAAAATCAAAAAAATAATTTGTTTAAGATGGTCAAGAACCAACATGCAGGTGGTCTAATTGTGGGAGAGATCATAAGGATGTGCTTGCATTTTGGGGTGAATTAGACAATTTCATTTCAACAGACAATGCTTCTCAGGGCAAGGAAATTGTAAAGATGTTTTGAAACAGGGAAATCTTTCTCTTCCCAAACTTTTTATTTTTTATTTTTATTTTATTTTATTTTTTTTCGGGACAAGAATGCTAGTGGTTAGTTGTTAGAGGAGAAGAGAAGGGTGTAAGGGTCGAATACAAACTCTCAAACACGGAGAACAACCTAACCACTGGCGACAAAGTACTTACTCCAAACTCTAAATTAAGAATGTGTATCATTTCACTTTAAAATACTTTACCTCTACCTTTAAAGAAAAAGTGATTTGATGTGCTTTGTTGTGCAAATATATTTTAGATTAATTGAATAAGAAAGCTTAAGTTTAATTTATGATTTTATTGGAATAAAAACAATTATTATAGTTAACATTAACAGTGATGCATAAAAAAACATGCATATCAATAGGTTTAAGAGACACACATATTAGCTTTTAGGATTCAATAAAACGTTTTTGACTTTTTCATGTGTGAATTATCAAACATTTTAATCGGTTATACCAATAATATATTTGTAGTTTTAACAAAAAGAGACCCATATTCATAACTAAATTTATTTTTTAAAATTTTTTTTTTATAACGGAAGATAAATGACAAACATACCCCTAAAAGTGAAGCACATTTGGTTATAATTCTTTCATTTATGGATTATAAATACTTGGTCATTTCACTCTAAAATGGAATGCATATGATTAAAAAGGGAGCACTTTCAATTTCAAATTTCACTATATGTTTTAGTAATATAAAATTTCAATCAATATATAATATAATATATATTTCCTCCGTCCCACTTTACATATCCATGTTTAGAAATTAGAATTTTTAAGGGGACATGCATTTAATTCATTGTTTCCTTTTAAAATTACCAACTTGTCCCTTCTAATTTAAATATATATAGTTATAAAGTTTGAAATTTTTTAAAAAGATAAAAGAAAATGATGGAAATATAGAATTTATTTGCTTTGACTTTTCAGGACAACTAATTTGAAACATGTAAAAAGAGAATAATGAACTACTAATATGAGATGGAGAGAGTATATATATCTAAGAATACAAGAAATTATTATATAGTCCGAGGTCTCGAGATCATTGGTTTCAGCCATACTAAATAATAATGTAACTTTTTTTCTTTTTATTTTTATTTTTTATTTTTTTTAAAACATTAGCAAAAATAAAGCCAAAATATCTTTATGGATACACACAGTTAATCCATGAGCTACGCTATTGCTTGCTCCTGGGCCAAAAAACATATAAATAAGAAGAGTGCTAACTATTCTTACCCCAATCATAAATATCTTCCACCACCACAAATGAAAAATGATACTACCATAGCAAAAATTCGAGATGATGTACAAAATTCGACACATACATCTAAACATTTGAAAAGGGGTTATAACAAAAATATATCGTCAAAATTTTGCATAAACAATTACATACAACCAATACAAATCGATCAAAGTTTTATATTCTTTGTTTTCATTTTACTTGATCAAAATAATTCTTCGAGTGTCTTCTAATTTTGTATTATGGTAGTTTGAGCGCTCTGTTTTTTCTTCTTGTTCTTTTTATTTTTTTAAATATTAAAATTATGTTAATATTAACTACATAATAATGTAAGTTTTGCACTAATTTTTTTGTAGAAAATGCAATAATTTAAAAGAAATTTTGTGACAATTATGACTCAAACCATGAATTATACTAATATATAATGGGTGAGCCGGACATCATCGGTATGTCTACTCAATAAAAATATACCCTATAATAAAAGTAATTCTACTTACTTACAAAAATTGCTCTCAACCATGTTCAAATCATTTGATTACTCATTTTTAACACCATTACTTCTATTTTCTACGCTTTTATTTTTAAAAAATTTGAACCCTCTACACATAAGTTTTTGTTGCAATTAAGAAGGTAAATTAATCATTACTGCAGCAATAATTACTCAACCGGAGTCTCCTTTCCCCTAATTTACCATGGTAAAAAATAAAAATTATGTAGCTCTCCAACAAAAAGGTATATTATTCATAAAGATTCTTGAGAACGACAGATAAGCAAAAAAATGTTAGCAAAACAGACAAACGAGTTGAAGTCGGACGTTCATCTTTATGCGCATACAAACAATTCTCTGTGTCAACTTTCCGAACAAATAAAAGAAAACATGCTCTCTCTATAAATATCTCGCTGGAACAACTCGATCCGATCTTCCTCTTCCTTGAAAGTTCAAATCGTCGTTTTTCTCTTTCTTCTATATATATATATATATATATATATCTACAGTTACACATATGGAGAGAGAAAATCGAGAGAACTCGAGTCCCCTGCTCATGAGAGTAAAGCCTGATATTGTCAGTGATGGCGATTTTGAGAGGCAGAGTGGTTCTTCCTCGTCATCGTCTTCATCTGCCACAGCTGTGGTTGTACTCAGCACTTTGGTCGCCGTTTCTGGGTCTTACGTTTTTGGATCTGCTGTAAGTACTACTACTATATACTAATTTCTCTCTTACATACTTGTTTATGGATCGGCTGGAATTGAAGTAAAAAGGCTATATGGTATACTATATAATAGTGTATGTATAAAGTATATATAATGGAAGTACTAAGGCAATAAAGTATACTCTATACCTTACACTAGTGTGTATAATATATCTATGATTATATATATATATATACACACACTCTAATTGGACCTCAGGAGCTTAACAGATAGAGAATGAGTGATTGATACATTTCCACTAAGGGGAGTGGGGTTGTGGCTCCCACATAAGTACATATGCAATAATGCAACAACATTTTTGAAGGTTAATTGCAAATATATCTTGTGCTATACAGATGTTTGCTATATGCCCCCCTTTAATATTGAAATTTGTTGTAATTTTCCCTCCTAGGGGGGTATTCTGCCACAGTTTCAATAGTTGGGGGGCAAATTGCAATGCAGGGGTAACTTGTAAAAATTTGTAAATAACTCCATTTTTGGAAGAAAATATGATCAGCTGAGATTAGTGGACTATTTTTGTAATCAGAAGTACTCTGTAGTGCTCTGTAGAATTCTATATGTATGTGTGTGAAATGTCAGTATCATTGTTTGAAATGCCAGTATTATTGAAATGTCAGTATTATTGCACATTGTATATAATGCAAATATTTTTGAATGGTTAATTGAAAATACAAATTGCAATGCAGGGGTAACTTGCAAAAATTTGTAACTAACTCCATTTTTGGAAGAAAATATGATCAGCTGAGATTAGTCGACTATTTTTGTATTCAGAAATACTCCGTAGTGCTCTATGTATTCTATACGTATGTGTGTGTGTGTGAAATGTCAGTAGTATTGCTTATAAGGTGAAATGTCAGTATTATTGCTCAGTTTCATTGTTTGAAATGCCAGTATTATTGAAATGTCAGTATTCTTGCACATTGTATATAATGCAAATATTTTTGACTAGTTAATTGCAAAATATTTCCTCTATTATACACATGTTTGCTGTATGCCCTTAAACTATTGAAAATTGTTGCATTTACCCCTAGGGGATTCTACAACTTTTCTAATAGTTGAGGGGACAAATTGCAAAAATTTGCAAAAACCCCATTTTTGCAAAAAATTTCAAATAACCCCATTTTTGGGGGGAAAAAATGAAAAACTGGTACTACTTTTTGTATTCAGAAATAGTGCTCTATGTATTCTGTGTGTGTGTGTGTGTGTGTGGGTGGGTGGGGGGGGAGAATGCGCCAGGCTCTCATTTAGAATGCAAGTGAAGCCACATACATTTAAAATAACTCTTACTATATTAGGTGTTATGAAAAAAAGGATCGAATAGAACAATAGAAAATTAATGACAAGAGAAAAAAAAAATAAAAATAGGCACACACACAAATGAGACAAGAATTTACGTGGTTCGGCTATGCCTACGTCCACGGGGAGAAAATAGAACAATATTTCACTATGGAAATAAAAAGGATACAAGGCAAAGTGGCTCACACCCAAAACCCAATTACACCCAAACTCTCTCATTCACTAACTGATATTACAAACACACAACTGAATTGATGGTTTTGGATGCTTCAAACTATGGAGGGCGAAGGCTATTTTATAGCCAAAATGGGACACCAAAATGAGGCTACTTGGTGACCACTCAAAGACTTGCTGGGCACACATTCTTGGAGGCCAAGAATCTTGATGACATCATGGGTGATGTAAGCCTCAAATTCAGCCATATGTTCAACAAATCTCCACCTTGACGAAAATTCAAATGAGTTATTGTATCTCTGTTAAACAAACTGTCTTCTCCACTAAGCAAATTAATTAAGAATTTCAGTTAAGTTTGAGTCAAACTTAACCCTCGGGCTCTCATTCTTCAACACATGCATGTCTTGCGCAACCATAAGCATATCTCCAGTATTTGTGTCAAACTTTAAATGCTTACCAAAAGCAACCTCAGAAATTCCAAGTTTGACATCTCTTTTAGCAACCTTCTCCAACCGCCCACAAACCACCGGCTGGTAATGAAAAGTCATCTTCTCACCCTTGTGGAGAATAAGACATCCTTGACTTTTCCTCGTATCTCTATTGTGACCAACTAATTACCTCCCATACATCTTAATGGCACTCAAATGGACTATATCATTGCCACCAAGATTTGCAAGTCAATATCACACCTGTCCTATAGGTCTACCTCCCTGTAAGGACTGCTGCAATTTTGGTTGCCATATGAAAAAGGATTTCATTCTCCCACCACGTTGTGTAGTCTCCTCACAACCCTTTTGAGAACTAGGATCCTCACTCCTCTTTCTAACTCTTCTTTTGCTAAGACCTGAACGTAGATTTTTGATAACTGTAGAAGACCCTGTAGAAGCTCCACCTATTAATGTATTCCCTTGGAGAAGATACAAAATTTTCACCTTGGTGCCCTGTAGCACAACAAGAGAATCCATCACGACCATCATTGCTCCACCTTCTGTTACAACCTTGTAACCTTTGAAATCTAGCACACCTATTGAAATAAGATTCATCTTCAGATCCGGTACATGTCGCGCATCTGACAATGTTCTCACCAACCCATTGTGCGTCTTGATCTTGACTGTTCCAATTCCCAAAATTTTGAAAGCTTTCCTGTCCGCCGTCAAAATCGAACCACCTTTCACCTCTTTATAGGAAGAGAAAGAATCCCTACTGGGACACATATGAACGGAACAACCAGAATCAAGAATCAAACTATCATTAAATGACATACCTAAACATAAGGTTGTCATGAGAACATATTCGTCACTTCCCGAATCACTCATTGTAGCAGTTGCCACAGAAGCTGCTTTTTGAACCTTCTCTTTGGCATTCCCATTTTTTGCATTTAGTTTGGGACAGTGCTTGATGATATGCCCTATCTCGTGACAGTAGTAGCATTTCACATTTTTATGAGATCTAGATTTGCCCCTACTACCAGAACCCTTTGTCTCACTTTTGTCTCTTACAAATAGACCCTCGGCCTGTTCATCTTCAATATTTCCAGACACTTTTTTCCTTAACTCCTGAGAGTTCAATGAGGATTTAATATCCTCCATACTAATAGTGTCTTTTCCATAGAGTAATGTGGTAACAAAATGCTCATAAGATTGAGGTAAAGAACACAACAAAATAAGGGTTTGATCCTCGTCATCAATTTTAATATCAGTATTTTTCAAATCCATAATAATATAATTGAAATTATCAATATGCTCCTTAAAAGGCATACCTTCCTTCATACGAAAGGTGTAGAGTCTCTGTTTCAGGTAAAGTCTGTTGGTGAGAGATTTCATCATATACAGACTTTCCAATTTCAGCCACAACTTTGCCGCCGTGTCTTCATCAATAACTTCACGCAGCACCTCATCAGCTAGATTCAAAATAATCGCATTGCGCGCCTTTTCATCGACCCCATCCTTGTCTTCATTGGACATAGTTGTTGGCAACTTGTCCTTCCCAAACAACACCTTCTTTAGACCTTGCTGAGTCAGTAGGGCCTGCATCTTAATGCGCCAAAGACTGAAACTAATCTTGCCATCAAATTTCTCAATCTAGTATCTGGTCGACATCTCAAAAAACTTTCCAAAATTACTCGGTGAATAGTATCGTAATTGTGAGTAGTGCCCGAAAAGTATCTATGAACAGTAACGTACGTGTGAACAGTACCAGTGAATAATACTGTACACATGAACAGTATTTGTACAAAATACACGAATCCGAACTCTGATACCAGTTTGTTATGAAAAAATGATCGAATAGGAGTTTATGAGAACAATAGAAAATTAATGACGAGAAAAAAACATAAAAATAGGCACACACACAAATGAGACAAGGATTTACGTGATTCGGCTATGCCTACGTCCACGGGGAGAAGACAGAACAATATTTTACTATGGAAATAAAGAGATACAAGGCAAAGTGGCTCACACCTTAAACCCAATTACACCCAAACTCTCTCACTCACTAACTGATATTACAAACACACAACTAAATTGATGGTTTTGGATGCTTCAAACTATGGAGGGCAAATGCTATTTATAGCCAAAATGGGACACCAAAATGAGGCTACTTGGTGACCACTCAAAAGACTTGCTGGACACACATTCTTGGAGGCCAAGAATCTTGATGACATCATGGGTGATGCAAGCCTCAAATTGAGCCATATGTTCAACATTAGGTCTGTTAAGGAAGAAGCATTGTTAATATTTGATCTGTAAAGAACAAATATTTGGACACAAATCCACTGCTTGCTGTCCATATTATTAGTCAATCAATTGTACAAAATGCTTGGTAAACCATAAAGGTCAGCTGGCATTTTTCATTTGTATTTTTGTACTTAAAATAAAATGTTACAAGAATGACTCAGAATAAAAGTTTAAGAAATCTTTAATTCACTGATCAATTAAGTACGATCCTTATAGTTATATACGGGATATTCATGTATGCGGAACAGCTATGTTACATGGATGAGGACCCCTAAGTGCAATCCTTGTGCCCGTGATACCTTGATGAGGGTATGGTAATGTGTTCGGCATGGTTTAATTGGACATGCAAATAGCAAGTATATCCAATAGTTCAAGTTTACTATATACTTCTTATATTCCTTTTGTTACATTGTTACTTTAAACCAGGTGAAATACGCTGTCCAACGTTTTATGTTATGTAAAATATCGATTTATCTTAAAAATAAAGGAGGAATGTTTAAAAGTACTAGTAAATTTTAGCGCTATCTCCATGTCATTTTTAGTTTAAGATATGTTTGGCACTTAGAGTCTTAGAATCATGTACCTACCTCCTACTTATATCTTTGTAACATAGCTGAATGGTGCTAGTATCTGCATGAATCTGTGATTCCACATATATAAAACCATCTGAGACACTAGTAGATGCATGAAATCAGCTATTCAAGGGGAATTGGTCTAAGTATTTTGTGTATGAAAATGTCTAGTTCATTGCTTTTTACACTGTTCTATGCAACTAAGTATATTTAATTTCTCCGATCTCTTCTTTCATGCACGTGTTGTACATTTCTATATCAGAACGGTTCTGATCATGTAATTGTTTGTGCTTTATATGCTTGCAATTGGCCCACAGTGTAGTACACTTGGATGTGATTTAGCAGGATCATATGAGATCTTGTAATCAGAATATGTGGCAGATTTCTGCCACTCTCTTTGGTAAATATGTAACAGTTTCAATGCATATAGGCACCTGAGATATAGGAACTTTATAATCGACTACCAGCGGAGTCTTTCACTATTCAAATTTAATGCATAGGACTCGATGGCTAGATTACATAATCAAGGTGGCAGCAGAACTGATGGTTTACAGTCAATATGCAGGTCGGATATTCGTCACCTGCTCAGACTGGAATAATGGGTGATCTAGGCCTCTCTTTAGCAGAAGTAAGTATATAACACATATAAAATGTTAAAGAACACATATTGGCATTTAAATACAATAGACATTAATTTACATTTTTTAATTTTTTTTTATCTTTCTATATTTTAGTCCATGTACTGTCTATTCATACCAGTTGCTAAGCATATATATGTTATATCTATATATATCTTGAGTTCACACAATTGAACATAAGTACTTAATTGATGGAAAAGTGGCTAATTGACGAAGCACGGTAGGTTATACGGTCTGAAAAACTACTTCAAGCCAATTTATTATTCTGCATTATCTGGCTAGTTATTTTTGTTCCATTTATCTATTTGATCTTCTTTTTTCTTTTCATTGGCTATCAATTTGCAGTATTCTGTTTTTGGTTCAACGTTGACAATTGGAGCTATGCTGGGTGCAGTAATGAGTGGGAAATTAGCCGATCTCATTGGCCGGAGAGGTGTAAGTTTTTCGGTTACTTTTTAGAGTTCAGATATCTATGGGCCTAGAAACAATTTTAACTCTATAATAGTTTACCAGCTGTTGAATTCTTCTCAGTTTTGGTTGATTTTATGCTGCAGACAATGGGGTTTTCAGAAATATTCTGCATCATGGGGTGGCTTGCAATGGCATTCTCGAAGGTTTCTTGTATTTTCTGTCTATTCTTTCCTCCTCAGCTCTCTTTCACTCACTTTTACAGAAAATAATTTTGCATACTCCAATTTTTCATGTCTTTCCACACATCTTATTGGTAAACAAACCAAGAAAGGAATGTTCAGGTTGTTTTAGATTAATCTATCTATCAATGACTTCATAGTACAAACGAAAATGACTCCTGCTTGAACTTGAATTACGTGTACCTGATTTGTATTCTATCAAAGCTGTGTACTAATGCTCTATGCTCATTGAATTTTTACTTGAAGAAGATGCTTCAATGGATACTAAACCTTGACTTATAATGATTGTATAGATGTATGTATAGAGGTAGACATTCACATATATTTGTAGAAACAATTCATAGCACTAATTGCTCAATGGTTGTCAAAAGGGTGCTTTGTGGCTTGACCTTGGAAGACTATCAGTGGGATATGGAATTGGGCTTCTATCCTATGTGGTAAGTGCAGCAGGTTGTGCATTTCATATTTCAGTTATCTATTTGACACTTGAAGGTATTTGCATTCTCAAATCTAAACAGGTACCTGTATATATAGCAGAAATAACACCAAAGGATCTTCGAGGAGCTTTTACAGCGGTTAACCAGGTACATCACGACAGTTACAAATATAGAACCGTCTAGATTAATATCTTATGAGCATACATGCTGCTGATTTTACAGTTGATGGTATGTTGTGGCGTATCAGTAATGTATCTCATTGGAACCGTCATCAGCTGGCGCATCTTGGCTCTAATTGGTAACTTTGTTTGCTCATGTACTGTTGTAATTTTATTTGAAGATAATTCAGTAAAAAAATGCTTATATATGATATCATTCAGGAACTATTCCATGTCTGCTACAGCTTGTGGGCCTATTCTTCATTCCGGAATCTCCCAGATGGCTGGTGAGTCAGATTCAGACTTCAGTTAGTAGTTGTTGTTTTAGGTCCTGCTCAGGTGATGCTTAAAAAGGGCATGTTGCTTTTTATTTGTTGTTGGTTTCACGGGGTACCTTTGAGTCAACGATGTATTATAAGCTCATAACTAATTTAATGCAAATTCCCGTGTGAGATGATGTGATAAATAGAAGAAAGCATCCATTAACATGCTTAATGGTGAGTGAAACTGACTGCAGGCAAAGATTAGTCGGGGTTTAGATTGTGAAGCTGCTCTGCAACGCCTTAGGGGAGATAATGCCAATATTTCTGAAGAGGCTGCGGAAATTAGAGTAACTTTTTTACTTGTTGGTTCATTAAAGTTTAATTTCTTTTTTGTTATATTTTGTGATTGCATTTAAGTATAAATAATTGAGTTTTAATATTTCTTTATATAATTAAAATTTTCAATTTTCTTCACAAGGAAAACGATAAATAAGACAGGCTCATACTATTTATAGGATTACACAGAATCCCTTCGGCTCTCGGATGCTAGAGTGCTTGACTTGTTCCAGCGGAAATATGCTCACTCACTCATTGTGAGCCTTCTAAGCTTAGCGTTTGAGACGTTACTTTCTCATGACTAAAAAAATCATTTTATAAATGCCTAAATTTTATTAGGTTGGAGTTGGGCTAATGGTATTGCAGCAGTTTGGAGGGGTCAATGCGATTGCATATTATGCAAGTGCAATTTTCATATCGGCTGGTAAGTAACGCACTCTGGTAATGATAACATAATTTATGGGAATAATAAAGAAAGGAAAATAAGTGTGTGATTTTTGGATTATGACAGGTTTTTCAAGTAGCTTCGGGACTATTGCAATGGTTATTGTTCAGGTTTTTAGAACTCTCCGTGTGTGGTTTATATTTTGGATATTGATTTTCACATTTTAAAGATGTTATAGATTGTAATCTGCAGGTTCCAGCGACCCTGTTGGGTACACTCTTGATGGATAAATCTGGAAGACGACCACTACTGATGGTATGAAGGGCAAGGTATCTGTTTTAAGTTTGAGATGTAGTTGACTGAAATGCCGGCACTGAAGTCTACTACTGTTACAGATATCTGCAGCAGGAACATGCTTGGGTTGCTTTCTTTTAGGATTGTCATACTTATTGCAGGTTTCTTCTACAATCAGACTAGTTTTTTTGTTGAACTTTGTTTATCATTTCCAAACATATGTCCTGAATAAGTTAGCTTGGCATGAGCAGGATCTTCAAATCTGGAAGGGATTCGCCCCCATTATTGCTCTTGTTGGCATGCTGGTAATGGTTAGACTGAATGCCAATTCTTTTTTCTTATTTATTTTTATTTGCTTTTTTTTTTTTTTTTTCCTTTTACGGAAATAATATGAAGGGTACCACTGAGCATTTAGCTTTTGTAGCATCTCCTCCTCCCATTCAAGAGGTTGAGAGTTCAAGCCCTTATAATTGGGGCAGTAGTGGTGTGTCTGTCTTACCTAACAAATAGAATAATATAATATATATATATATATATATATATATATATATACACACACACACACACACAATGCTGCTAGTTGAAAGGTTTTATTTTTATTTCTTTATTTTTTGTGTCATGTATTAAGTTCAATTTTCTTCCCTTGCAGTCTCTCTATGCAAAAAAAAAAAAACACATGATTTAGTTTGTAAAAGAATTCGTTTCTTCTCTTATCTACCAGTCTTGAAACCTTGACCTTGACCTAGAACTTGGGAGTTAAGACCCAAAGCCACTCAGACAAAGGTAGACTATGGTAGAGAATACACAAAAGCGGACTTTGTACACTTCCTGCTCCAGTGTATGGTAGCCTTTCACGGTGTGCTACTCCATGGGACTCTCTTCTCGCCATTGTAGCAGAGATACTTTTGGATTTAACTCCAGTATTTTATTTATAGTTTAATGGATGAGGTTGAATTCTATCTTGATCTGTTTGATTATGCAATCAGGTATTTACAGGATCGTTCTCGCTTGGAATGGGAGGGATTCCATGGGTTATAATGTCAGAGGTAAGTACTTAATTGATCGACCTTAATTTTATACATTTTCCTGATGGATATTTCATAACTGTAGACTAAATATAGCGAAGTATTTAGAGCTGAGACTAATGAAATAAGATTTCTTATTTCAGATATTTCCTATAAACGTGAAAGGCTTGGCTGGAAGCTTGGTGACGGTAATCAACTGGCTTGGCTCTTGGATTGTTTCGTATGCTTTTAACTTCTTACTGAATTGGAGCTCGGAAGGTAATGCCTGATTTAGTATGCATCGGTGTGTGTGTTAGGCTTAAATGTAGACCAATTTACACCATAATCTGCTTCTCTATCAGGAACATTTTTCATATTCTCAAGCATATGTGGCTTGACTGTTCTGTTCGTTGCAAAACTGGTACCAGAGACCAAAGGACGGACACTTGAAGAAATACAAGCATCAATGAATCATTTTCAACAGGAAAAATAGACTCGAAATGCTTGTAAAACAGTAACTGCACGCGTTATGATGCATCTTCATGGCTGCCCAGGTAATTGTAGTTTAAAGATTGTTCGCGCAGCTCATTTGATTAAACATTTTGTAATACAAATGGACAGCTTTTTACACAGTATCTTGCCAAAAAAGTTTATGACATTTGTGTCAACTTAGTATGCAATGTGTTGAAATACAAAATGGATTTTGCATTTTAGGCAAATTCTGAAATGGGGTGATTTCATTTCAACTTATATTTGTCAGTGTCAAGTGATTCTTGCTGTTGCAGTTATGCAATTTTCTTGTGTCTAATTATTCCGAATATTCTTCTAATTCAAGCTCAGGTTATGCCATATAATTTTTCTCCCACTTCTCTTCTTTCCTTTCCGGAAAGAAATTCGAAACAGAAGATTATGGTTTTATAATTTTTTTCCCTTCCACTTATATTTTCTCTCTGAATTTCTACTCTGGCAAACAGAGCATAAAGGCAGAGCCATGTGAAAAAGATTGGTCAGCTATCAGTTACAAGGTTTAGCATAGTGTTCTCTGTTTGGATCATTTCTGTGGACCAAAAGCCCAAGTCCATTATTGCAATGGCACTGGGTTGGTGACTGGGCCTAAGCAGAGCCTATAAGGCATGGGTTGGCCTTCACAGAGTTTGGGTTGAAAGTTTGAAACAATTCTAATACAGAATCAAACATTTCCTTTCACTTTTTTTCTTTTCTTTCTTTCTTTTTTCTTTTTAGTTGTTGTTTTTGTATTGCTTTGGTAATTAGTGAAAATTTACCGACCATTTAAAGCAGATAAAAATAAAATAACGAGTATTATTGTACGTGGATTTAGATTTTAGGCCAAATAACGTTAATTACTTGTGTAATGTGATTTTTTTTTTTTTTTTCATTATTTCTTATTCGTATTTTCATTTGTAATCATTGATGTTGGGTGTCATCATATAATGTATATGCCTGTTACTTGATTTGGGATGACAACTTGTATAGCTCAATTCTGCCCAAATTGTAGGGTAATTTACACAGACCTTTCCTATGGTTTGCCATAATTACAGGCGGCACTCTTCCTGTTCCGAAAATTACGCGGACCTTCCCTACTTTTTAAAATATCTTACACGGACCTCCCTTATCTGTGACGGACCGTTAAATACACTCACGGAGCTGTCGAAATTACTGAAATACCCTCTCCTTGACATCTGAAATTACGAAACTACCCCTCTCAATTATTAGGTAGATCTTTCTTACAACCCTGCACTTGGCAAATGGGAGTATGAGAACTTAAACCTATTGCTCTCGCCCTCTTCCCCGGCATAGATGACTCAGATGCAGAGACCATGGGAGTTGTCTTCACAAAATCAAGAACATGAGCATCTCTATGATCAGCAAACCTCCCCAGCTTCAAATCAATAAGTGATGAATCACGACTGTTCGATTCCACAACCGAGCTCGATAGCTTCGAACTGGACTCCTCCTCCCCGGAAAATGCATTTGGTGTAAACCCAATTGGATTAACCATTCTTCCATCACCACTACTACTCCAAACATCCCCAATTGAGTGATTGGTCTATGATTTTCTCGTCATTTCTGAGAAACCCAATTTCACAAATCCCTGATTCTCAATGACCTCTTGACCTGAGACTACTATATTGCTTCCATAGTTGCATGGGGTTTTCAATTCCCAATCCATAAACTGTTTTTTACCTCTCAAAATCGCATCAGTACCTGAAATAGCTTCATCAGATACAAAACCCTTCCCCTCAGAAACATAACTCCAAGACTCCATTAGAACACACAAACCCACCAAACTAAAAGCCCAAAAATCTATCCCTGTTCTACACTTCTACCTAACGACCACTTTGAATTGTAATTCCCAAAGCCTGGAATGAACTTATTACTTATCAGAGTATGCATAACCATTAAAGATTTTTTCCATTAGCAGTGTACAAAATAGAAAAAAATCCACCATCATATCTACTCTTTGAGTCCCAATAAAATTGTGTAATCTTCAATTTTAGAAAACCCAGTAACCATACGGATGAAAAACTAGAGAAATGTGTGGAAACATGTAAATATAACCAAAAAAACCTCTCAAGAAACAAGTAGACATGCTCATGGTCAATGGGTATCCATTGAACTGGAAGCAGAGAAGCAAATAGAGGTAAAAAGGCACTTCAGTAATGAGTAAACAAGAAATTCAGTGACTCAAACAAGAAAATTTAAAGCTGCAAAAAAAGACGAGAGAGAGAGAGGGACTCATTTAAAGAGATTATTAGTATTGGCGTTCCCAACTCCATGGAAGAGCTTCTTCTTGTTGTTGTTTGAGAGAGTGCGGGAGGAGAGAGAGAGTCCACCTGCTTTATTTATATATTTTAAATATAATATTTATTTAATTATATAGATAAGGGTATTTTAGAGATTTTAATAAAAATAGTGGTTGACGTCCTCAATTTTCGTCATTAACTGGTGTTGATCGTAACGGAAGGAAGGTCCGTGTAGGATATTTTAAAAAGTAAGGGAGGTCTGCGTAATTGTGATGTTCTCTGCCCAAACGTGTCAATGGACTTCCTATGAATAAGTTGCTTTTGAGCCACTTTTGAAGACCTTTTCTTTGTTTCCATGGCCATACATCCAGCTCCAGGAGGTGAGATCTGCCTTGAAGTTGTGACACGACTTGACTGAGAGCCAGGGCTCATTGACAAGCTTAGAGAACGTAAATCCCCAAAAGAAATTGTTGCACCGACAGAGCCAAGGCTCATTGGTTAGTAATTAAAGGAGCAATTTTGGAAAACAAGCAGCAATTGATCTGTTTTCATTTTATCAAACCAATATTAATATCTTACACAACAAGGAAACAAAAAGGTGCATGATTTTACACCACAATCAAACCCATCATGGAAACAAAAATCACATTATATGTCAAAACCAAACAAATTATGAATTGTTAATTTGAATTTTAGAATAAAAAAGCAAATCAGAAATAACATGGAAAATGAAATAAAAAAAGAAAATGATTTAATCACATTTATGACAAATTATGCATCAAAAGTTGCCTTGATGGCTAACGATTTGACCCAAACATTAAATTTGATTTAGAACTTGATAAAGGTATCATTATCACCAATGTAGCCTAATAATTCAAGCTGGTGTGGAATTAATCCTGGCACAGTACAGAAAAATACACATTTTTCAGAGGTTCATTCAATGATTTAATGAAAATAAATAATGCTAGAGAAAAAACAAGTAAGAAAGTAGACAACTGACATTTAACACAAGCACAAAAAGTCTCAGCAATAAACAAGATCGAATTCATCATAATTTTGCAAATGTAAACAAGTTCTAAAACCATATTCAAACTCTTAGAAAGCTAGGGTTTCATAAAATAATAACATCAATCTCCAATTAAAGATGAATTCTGACAAAAATGAAGCGAATCTGATAGAATTTACCTGTGAGTGGACGAACATGAATATAATGCTGATCGTTGGCAATTTTGGACGAATCAGACATCGATTTAGCTCCAAAATCAAATAGAACAGACCGATTAACGAACTCAGCTTGGTTTGGTTTCGATTTCTCTGTGAAATGTAAATGAAGCTGTTGAGGAGAGAGTTTTTCCTGCTCAGATCGTGCGAGAGAATGTCACTCCCAGGGCTCAGTTTTGATTTCTCTCCTAAATGTAAATGAAGATTTAATTGAAAATCTTAGTAACGGAGAGAAGAAACTCTGCTCGTGAGAGAATCTCATTCCTAGGATTTCAATTTGATTTTGGTACTTAGGGAGTGAGGTGAGAAGAGACCGAGCGAATTTCGTTTTACTTGCCCAAAAAAAATAGTGAGGAGCGAAATGAAAAAATAAAAAATAAAGAAAGAATGTGCACGGCAATCACGTGCTCACTTATTAGAAATTGTTAAATGGCAGCATTTTTTAATAAATGCTGCTAAACTTTTGTCATTATAGGTATATTTTGTAGTAGTGAATGGTGCAAGGGTTGCCTGGACCTCAGTTTGCAAACCCAAATCTGAGGGATTCCCTTTAATGTTTTAGCTTTGGATGCAAATGAACCATGTTGTGTCAAGGATTAGCTTGTTGAGCTCTGTTCAGTTAAATTAAAGGTGTTGAAAATCAAGTTTGTCCTAACCACGACAGTTCAAGCTCAGTTTATTAGCAGCTCATGGGCTCTCTAGCTGATTATGTAATTCTTCTTTGTCATTGTCGTTGTCATTGTTATTATTATTATTATTATCATTTTTATTTTTATTTATTTTTATTTTTTCTTTTGCTTCCTTGGGGACTCAGGTCAATTGGCTATAAGCATGTACTGATGATGAGTATTGAATCCATAATTATACATGAAAGTTTAACATAATTCTACATTTAATCTATAACTGTTGTTGTTGTGGTGGTTACTATTATATATACATATGTCTGTATATTGTTGTAGTTGGTTTCATATTAGACTCTTTTTTTATGAGAGAGTATATTACAATTTTGTGTTTGACAAATTATATAGGTAGGTTCTCAAGGAATGTGTTTGATTTTTTTTTTGGTAAAAAAGTTAAGGTTAACAAACAATGTAAATTGTTTATTGTTCTTAAAATCAGTTCTGACATTTGAACAAACAATTTTACCATTATCACAAAAAAACAACATAAGAAATACCAAAAGTGCCTAAACAGACCACCACCATCATCATCATCATTATATACCAAAACAAATTCATTGCATACAAATCGATTGATATAACAAAGCATGAACATAGAAAAATACAACCTAGATACATGAAGAAGTTGTTGGCATCTTGAAACGGCAAAGTGGACAAGAGTGGGATGTGTTAAGCCACTTTGTAATGCAATCTCCATGAAAGACGTGAGAGCAGGGCATGCGAGTGATGGACTGTTCATCCGAGAACTCTTCCAGACAAATGGTGCAAGAGCAATAGAATGTCGTCTTCTCCAAGGCGTCGATGGATGATTGAGTTGCGGGTACCAGCTTCAACGCGACATAGTCGTCCACGGACTCCTGTATAGCCCGATCCATTGACCCATTGGTAGCCCGATCCAGGGCCGTTCGTAGAAACTGAATCAGTGGCAAATCATCATGAATATTGGATTCAACCTCGTCTATCTCCATAGGATCATCATCAGAGCTTCCACGGAAGGACGGCCATGTCTTGATTACTACGTTAAGTATAGCTATGGGTGTGGCGGTCTCGGGAATATGACTTCTTTCCCGGTGCATGCGGCGCGAGAAAGCGAGGATGTCATCGCACATCCGGTCATCCACGGTGACTCCCTTGCGGAACACGTAGTGATTGAAGAATCTGCGTGACAAGTCGTCAAATTCTAGCAAAGAAGCCGGCACAGGGTACCAATAGGTGTTGGTAGAGCGATTGACTTCCACCATACTACTGTTGTATGTATAATTATGTACAGTTACATTCAAGGAAATCATATCAGATGGTGCGAATGGCAATAGCAATCCATCACAAAGACCGCGCTGTGTGTACCATTCTTGACTCCTTCGATATACCATCTTCAATTAAAGCACACACAAATTGCACAAAATTTATTACTAGCAAGAGAAACGATCGTTCTGGAAAGGGATCGGTGAGTTCTGGAAAGGGAATTAGGGTTCAGAACTCTTTTATAAAAGGGGCGATGGTAGGGAGAAAACAATCGTGAAGAATACGCAATTACGCAATTGAATCTTCAATAATCAACAAAACTTATTACTAGCAAGAGAAATCGGTGAGTTCTGGAAAGGGATTAGGGTTTAGAACTCTTTTATAAAAGGGGCGGTGGTAGGGAGAAAACACTTGTGAAGAATACGCAATTGAGTCTTCAATAATCAACACACACTCAAAAACAAATTGCACAAAACTTTTTACTAGCAAGACAAATCGGTGAGTTCTGGAGAGAGATTAGGGTTTGGAACTCTTTTATAAAAGGGGCGGTGGTTGTGGGGATAAAACCTAGCTGCTCCTGAATAATAAGCAATTCTTTTAAACAAACTAACGGCTATATCGTAACCGGATAGCTCGTGAAAAATACGCAATTTAAAATGATTTTAAAAATATTTAATATTTAGGACGAATTCTTTTCTACAATGGCCCTTCTTTTTCTATTATGACAAGAAAAGTAGTATTATTTTTTAAGAATGTCTGCGGTTTGATTTGGACAGGTTTGAAAATTTTTTGAAACCAAATCAATTTTAATGATTTCAAAAAATTTAGAGCCAAATTGAACAATTTGACAAGAAAAATAGTAATTCTTCTTTTCATATTATGACAAGGAAAACACTACTATTTCTAATGACGAGGGCAAGAACGGAGCTACGAGAGGATCATTCTTTACAAAATATGCCCAATACATTGAAAAGGGCGAAGCAAAATGTGATCAATAGATTTGAAATTAGGTTAGGGGTTTTTTTTTTTTTTTTTTTTTTTTTTTTTTTTTTTTTTTTTTTAATGGGCTTTTAACTTGGATCTTTAAAGTGAATATGTGTTATTTCTAGTTGGAGTCTTAATTTTGACGATAATAATGTTTTTACATAGGCTTATGTGTTATATTATTAGGTAAAGTGCAGATTACCCCTACTATATACAAAAATGTTCAATTATTCTTCCGGTATTCAAAACCCCCTCTACATTCGTCAATTTGAGCAAATAAGAATAATTCTTTAATTTGAAAACTAAAATACCTAAAATTCTCTTAAAAAGAAATAAATAAATATTATAATAATAATTTAATAATAAATTTTTTTTTTAAAAAATAAATAAATAAAAATAAGGCATTTTTCAAAATTTATTTATTTATATTTATATTTTTTATTTTTACTCTTAGGAAAATAAAATACCTAAAATAACCTTAAGGGTATTTTGGAATTTTAGAAAACTTTTGGTCAAAATTATTGACCAGGGAATTTGCATAAATTTTCACAATACAAGGAATATGAACTTTTTTTATAGTAGGGTATATTGTTCCAATAACTAACTTGTTTACGTTGGACCAAAATTCTTTACGTTAGGAAGCATTGAGTTTGGTATTTCGTTCAAGTGCATGTGAAACCTCATCATCCTCTTCAGCACATTATCCTAGTGGTTGATGTTGGAGTTATGTTTCAAATTAATTAGCTATAAAATTAAAGGAGTTGAAAATCAAATTTGTCCCAACCACGATAGTTCAAACTCAGTTTATTCGTAACTCATGGGCTCTCTAGCTGATTATGTAATTCCTCTTAGTCATTGTCATTATTATTATTATAATTATTATTATATTTTTCTTTTTCTTTTGCTTCCTTGGGACTTTGGTCAATTGGCTATAAGCATGTACCCATTATGAGTATTGAATCCATAATTATACATGGATGTTTAACATAATTCTACATTGAATCTATAACTATTGTTCTTGTGGTGGTTACTATTATATATATATATATATATATATATATATATATATATATATATATATATCTATCTATCTATCTATCTATTTATACTATTATTAAATGTGCACAGAGTTTTAGTGTTTTAGTATTTCAGTATTTATTTATTAATATAAAAAATATTTATTAATTGATATAAAAAGAGTTTTTATATAAAAAAACTCTAAAAATTACCTAATAAAATTCAAATTACCTTTTATCTATAAAAAATATTTATTAAGTAATATAAAAATATAGAAAGAGTTTATATAAAACTCTAAAAATTACCTAATAAAATCAATCACCACTTTCAAATTACTTAATAAAATTCAAATTACAAATTACAAATTACCTAATAAAATTCAAATTACAAAAATTCTTTTTATAAAAAAAGAGTTTCAAATTACAAATTACCTAATAAATTTATACTATTATTAAAAGAGTTTCTATAAAACTCTAACACAAAATATAAAAAAAAATATTGATAATTATCACAATATAATTATGTCCTTATTAAGAGAGGACACAGGTCATCATCCTATTAATCCAAGAAGTCTATAAATAGAGGTATGGAAGAAGGAGGAATGGGGTAAGAAATTGAGAATCAATAGCCCGATTCAAGATTAAGCTCCAACAGCCCTTGGATCCAACCAACAAAGGAGCTTATAATTGTATAATTATATGGATACAAGACCATATATATACACACAAACTTCATCCTTTTGGATACAGTACCATATATATACACTTTTGTGTCTTGTAGTTTGTTATGTATTTTTTGCATGGCTTTTGAATATACAAACTTTATGTTTGCTTAAAATATTGAGCCATTTCAACAATAAGTATTTTCATTATAAAAAGAAAGGACCATATATGTATACTTTTGTGTCTTATAGTTTGTTATGTATTTTTTGCATTGCTGTTGAATATACAAACTTTATAATGGAGATCGAATTGTTATCCTTTTTAATAACTTGTACAGGTTCCTCTCCATAGCAACAATAAGTATTGTCATCGTACATACTTATAAATTTGTGTGTACATTTATAAAAAGAGTTTATAAAATATTTATTAATATAAAAAATATATTAATTGACATAAAAAGAGTTTTTATTAAAAAAAAAAAAAACTCTAAAAATCGTTAAATAAAATATCAATTAAAATTAAATAGGTAATTGTTTAATTGAATAATTGTTAGTTTTAAATCATTAAATAAATTACCAAATTGTTTAATTGAAATTCAATCAAGATGCTTCAAATTATTTATAAATAAAATAAAAAATAATTTACCAAATAATAAAATAAGTTACCAATTAAATCAAATAGGTAATTGTTTAATTGAAATTTAATCAAGATATTTCAAATCATTATTAAAACAACGAAAACAGGTTACGAATTAAAATAAAATAGGTAATTATTTAATAAAATATTTTACAAAATAATAAAATAAATTATCAATTAAAATTAAATAGGTAATTGTTTAATTGAAATTAAATCAAGATGCTTCAAATCATTAAATAAATTACCAATTAAAATAAAATATGTAATTGTTTAATTGATAGATTTTTCAAATCATTATTAAAACAAGTTACGTATTACAATAAAATAATTTACCAAATAATAAAATAAATTACCAATTAAAATTAAATAGGTAATTTTTAATTGAAATTCAATCAGGATGTTAATTTCAAATCATTAAATATATTACCAATTAAAATTAAATATGAAATTATTTAATAAAATAATTTACCAAATAATAAAATAACTTACCGTAGAAATTTTTTTATTGTAAATTCAATTGTAATAACCCGGTCATTTTCCTCCTTTTCTTTTTCTTGAAATTTTACGGATATATAATTTTTTTTTTTTTTTTTCCGTTTAATTTTCTTTTCCGAGTTCTGTTTCTCATCACTTAGTGTCATCATGAGTGCTCGGAAATAGTTTTTGAGACTCTTTCATTTGGATTGACAACTTCCTTTGAGGATCAAGTCATTTCTACATTTTCACTTTTCGGACACTATTCACTTTTGGACTTTTTGTCCTTTTCTCTATTTTGTCTTTTCTCTGTTTGTCACTTTGTTGGCACAATCTCACTTCTTATACTTGGAGTTAGTTTTTGACTTCACGTGCCTTCATCCTAAGTGGTTTCTATGAAATGCGTATTTTTACTTTTGCAAGAAAGTACTCTGGTTGCTCTCGGTGTCCATAGGGGCATGGATGCACAATTCTTCAGAATTTTTTTTCTTTTCTTGGGATATTTTTCATAAATATCTTTTGAAGATATTTTATTTCAAGGGTATCTAAAAAAATATCTTTTGGAAGATATTTTCATTTTGGGGCAGTTTTGCCGTTAACCCTTTTTGTAGGGGTCATTGTGCAATTAACGAAAGTTATTGCAAAATACCTTGTTTTGAGTCTAGATCCTTGTACAGGATTTCTTTTCACTTTTCATTGAGTCGTGAACTCTTAGAATTTCCTTCTGGTCGTTTTTCTCCAGTTTTAGGGTTTCCGGCCCTAGTTGCCGCCGAACTTGTTTGGGGCATATCTCTCTACTCGGGACTCAGTTTTGGATGCTGTTTCTTTCGTTGTTCATATTTTCTCATTTTGAATCTTTTTTGTTCATGCAGTTTTGCCGTTTGAGCGCGTCTTCTCAAATTCTACTATTCTGGACCCGGCAAGGCCCTTTTTAGGGGTTTTCCTATAAATAGGGGACTTAAGAACAAAAAATCAGATTTCACTCTCTCTCTCTCTCTCTCCCCTCTCCCCTCTCCCCTCTCTTGGCTGGCCCTCCATGGAAGCCATGGCTGCCGCCCTTCTTTCTTCTTTTCCGACCATTTCCCTCGAGTGAAATATCGTAGTACCTTAGTGTTTAATGCTCGCTTTTGACGACGAGCATCTTTCCCCCTTATTAGAACCCATTTCTGACCATTTTTGAGTTCGGGTTTCAAGTTCAAGTTTGGATTTTCATGGTACCTCCTTGGTGTTTAATGATCACTTTGTTGTCCCCGACAAAACCTAAAGAGTATCTTAGGATTCAAAGCACATTTCTTTCGGTGGGGATTTGAGATTTGATTTTTATGGATGCTTATACAACTCATTTACATGCTTGGATATCAAATCTATAATTTTTATTTATTTATTTTCTTGTATGAGATTTGATTTTCCCGGTGGGTTATAGCATGTTTTAAACTTGTGGCATGGCCTTATATTACACTTTGACATGTTCATTGAAATATATTAAATTAAGAGCATTTGGACAAGTATTGAAGATTTTATTTAATATTTTTCTTAAATGAAAGGTTAATTTATATGACCTTAACTAGCTTGAAATTAACATGTATTGTCATATTATATTAGGCCCTAGCATGCTCTTCAACATAGGTGAATTTGAGAGTAATCGGAGATGTTTTAAAATCTAGAGATATTTAATTAATCTTAATTATTCCAAGTGTACTATTCACTTCATTGGATTTCCGACTTGATATTATGGATGTGCATGCTATATAGTTTCACATATATTAAATCGAGAATATTTGATTAGGTTTTGAAACCTTTCATTTATTATTTTTCTTGTATTAAAGTTTAAT